GTGAAGTGTGGGAAAGCAGGGAGGGAGCAGTCAGTGCAGAACAAATTTCTATTTTTCTTCTTTGCCTGTGTCTCCCTCATGGCACAATTTAGAAACCAGGGACCTTTCTCATCAGATAAGGTTACCTCGGAAATGAGAGCACTAACCAGGCAAATCGACAGATTCAGTCTCAGAGGCAATTTAAAAGGCAGGAGTCAAATTGCAGGAGTGAACTGGACATGCAAGATTGCAAAATGGGAAGATGGGAAATTTCCAAAGAGGAAATCCCAATGATATTTTGAATAGCCAGCCAAAGAGCGTCCACTGTGAATTCCCCACAGAGGAAAACCCCAAACAGGAAAGGTTTGCTTTTGGTACAGGGCTAGGAAACCAGCGTAACCATTTTGTGGGAATTCAGGATTTCCTTCTGATGTGCATGTACTTTGGAAGTCCACAAGAAGAGGTGCAAAGATTACAGCAGATTAGAGCTTAAGGTGCAGAGCAACTAAAGACTATTTCTGTGGCCCGTTTTCTCTTGTGCCTCACTTTTCCATCTTCAGAATGGGAAGAATAAACAGCATTTTCATAGCTTACATGACAGAGTGAAGATAAAGCTCCTAACGCACACAGGATGACCAGAGTGAAGGCGAATGTGGAAAAGCTCTCACAAGGCAGGAGGAGCATGCCAGACTGGGGAAATGCCTGGGTAGGGTGGCAGAGCACCATCATGAAGGGATGCTGGCTGGCTTTCCCCACGGAAACACAGCTCCATCCCAAACTCTTACACCAAACAGCACAACAGCCTCCAATAAGGAAGTCTCTGTGAGGACAAACCAGAGACACCTGGGTGTCAGATACAGAGCCAGGGTGACAGATGCAGAGTCTGAAGCTCATCTGGGCAGCGAAGCCCAGCGCTAGTAGGTGGGACATCAGGAGACCAAGTGCAGGGTGCTTCACAGACTTGCATATCTTCAGGCTGGAAGACTCTGTCCTAAGGATCCAGCCAGAGCTCCTGTGTAGTAGAGCACAGGGAACCTTCCCCAGCAACTGCGTATCAAGTGCATGCTGCCCCAGGAAAGACATTCAGCCCTGACTTTGAATGGAGAATTCCTAATTAGGCTCTCGGTTAAAAATGTGCAGCTTATTTATGTCAGCACCAAAGAGCTGTTTCAAGACCTCTGACATTTCTTAAAATATACATAGCGACAGACTCAAACTCAGCTGAGAAATGCCACCCCCTCCCAGACACACCAACCATCAGACACAAGCCACCCTCTCCCTGGCGTAACAGGGTTCTCCAGCCTGAAAACCTGTTTTAACTGATAGGCTACAGCAGAGACAGGCAGCGAAGGCTTCTCTGAACTACCTGCTCTGCAAATGCCTGTCTCCCACTGGCTTCCCTCCCTACATGAAGCAAATCTTTCCTGCTGTTAGTATAAAACTGTGAAAAACAAGTCACAGAGCTGTGACATTAGCACAACTCTCTGCTGTAAACAGCAATGAAAGGGGTCTTCACTCCCAGGCACAGAAGTCCTACGGGCTGGATAAGATTCATCTTCCCCAATTTTAGCCCACCAATGCAATGCATCTAGTCCAAGGGACTCTCGTCACAGCACAGGATCAGCATCCTAATCCCGGTGTAAAGTAGCTATTCAAAATAGGATCGGTTGGAATCAAGCTGCTCGGGACTTCTGGGATGTGCATCAACCACCTGGTCAGACTCACTTGATGCCCTGAATCTCACAGCTCCTCAGTAATCAGAGGAGAGGGGTGCCAGGGCTTGCAAGCAGGCGCAGAGGTAGCATCAGGCATCCCTCCGGAAGATGCTGCCCAACTCCGTGCAGCACAAACAACCGCCTGAGCAAAAAGCACAGGGACGGGGCCTCTGTCAGCAAACAGGAAAGAAACGTGGAGCAGCACGAACCCGATGCATTGCTCTAACTTACAATTGGCTGTAGCTGCGCGCCTGGTAGCATGAACTGCATCTGCTGAGCAAACATGGCTGCAGCTGTCTTCTGCTGGATCAGGTTGTTGCGTCCATTTATTTCAAGTTGTGTTTTTAAGTGTGGGGGAGGGTGGAGATATTTGCAGTTCTCTCGGGTACACCGGCCCTAAAAAAAATAAAAAACAAACGTAATGAAACAGCATTTCAGTGAATGCAACACACAGGGCAGCCAGGGATATTTAATTAAGGATTGTTTGGGTTACTGTAACAACACAATCATCTAGGCGGAGACAGTTTGGTAGCTACTGTGCCTCTTTTGTGATTTTTCTATAGCAGTGCAATACTTAGGTGAAAAGAAGAGCAACATGACTTCTCCTGCAGTAACACTAGCCAAATGCTATCAAACTAAACCAAAAGGTTCGGCTTGCCAATGTTGAAATGATCATTGTAAAAAAAAGATAATATAACGCAACACAAATGCCAGTATTTCAGAAGCAAGTGGTGACAGTTCCAGAAACATCAACAGAAATTTCCCATTTTCTTGTGTGGGCTGTTTTTCCCCCTCCTTCCTTCCCAACACCAGACCACTTAATTGGCCCTGACAACCAGACAGCGAGGGAAAAAAAAACCCCAACCTGTCTCCAGCACTTCCCCAGCTGCGCTGGGTAAAACATTTCAGAGCTGGGTCAGCTCTGAAAGCAGCACCTCTGATCTGCGACACGCATGTAGTGATCTTCAACGTGTGTGCACTGAGATGCTGAGAACTGGTACTCATAGGAGGAAGAATTGAAACAACTTGCCCGTAGTGCTTTCATTTGTTAAAGTCGCAGTATGTTGCCTCACTGATTACTCCCCCCCCCAAAAAAAAAAACATAAGCAGTAGGGAAGCCAGTGGCTCCTAAAAAGCAAAGGATCACTAAGGATCACTAATGTCACAGATCACCTTAAACCAACTGAGATCATCACTTTAAAAATATATATATATATGTATAAACTGTGCCTTGCTTTCAGTGTTTGCAAGCAGACATTGCGAGATAAACACCAACAGTCCACTGAACACAGAAAATTAGTAACATATTTTGTCATTAAGATGAAATGATTCTCCAAAACCAGGTTTTTCCCTTCTTTCTCAGTGTATTCCCTCCTCAAGAAATAGGATGCATACAGAAGACAAGAAACATTTAATGCAACTTTGTGCACAAATTTTATAAATGGCTTATGGTGGGGTTTTTTGAGGAAGTAATTCTTCCGTAGCTCTTCAGAGCCTAATAGAAGGGCAGGCCTAGGGACCACAGGGCTGCTGCATGAAGATAACTAATAACTGTTCCTGCAGCCAGCAAAGGCGCAGGACCATCCGTTACCCAGCTCATCCCTGGCACTCTTGTCAAGGGCTGTACACCGAGTTCTCAGTCTCAATATAATTAAGTTGGCTTTCCAAAAAAAGAGCCCATCAGGTGACCCCACAGACCTGCTCCCGTCAGCAGGATCTCACGCAGGAGAGCCGCAGCCAGGTGCACAGGGGTACATCCATTCCATACGGCTGCACCCAGGGCCCAGGCTGCTGGAAACCCCGGGGATGCCTGCCTGCAGCCAGGATGCTCCCCCGGGGGTTTTTAAGATCAGTCTCTGTATAGATGTACGGGTGGAAGCAGTCTGGGTACCACTGCACAAAGACAACTCCGACCCACTGCAGGGGCCACATTTGAATCCCCAGCCAGGCTCCTTGGCATGCCAAGAGAGGGGCAGGTCACTGGAGAGCAGCTGAAGATCTGCAAGCCTTCTGTGTGCTCTCCTCTACCCCCTTTTCTGGTGGGGATAATGGCTTCACTGGGAAAGGGCTGCAGAGCCCATCTGCAGCATGAATCATGGAATGGTTTGGGTTGGAGGGGACTGTAACGATCATCTAGTTCCAACCCCCCTGCCATGGGCAGGGACACCTTCCACTAGACCACAGAAAAGGCCTGTACGATAGAGCATCGTGAGACACTGGCTTCCCTCTGCTCCAAGAAGATCAGAGTTAAACAAAACTCCCAGCTCCCTGTTGTTATTTAGAGGCAAATAATTAAAAGCAAGAAGTGACAGGCTAAACCCAATGGGACAGGAAAAAAAGCTCCCAAACTTCAGCAGCCTGCCTTTGCAGAGCAACACTCTGCCCTGCTCCTAGAAGAGTCTAGTGGCTTCCAACAACCCAACACAAAAGAGGCTTTTTAATGCTATTGGTTTGGCTTCTCAGTAATCCAACAGCCCCAGATCCCCAGCAGCGATTTAGCTGCTCACAGGCCCCGAGGAGCTGAATCGTCATCACCAGACACTTTCTTACATCTGAGTAAAGTGAGAGCAAAACAGCCCCACACAGCTGGCTGGTGCTCAGACAGCCCAGCACTACTACAAGGTAAATAAGGGCATTTGATCTGGAAGGAGGAGATTGATCAGCACTAGATAGGTTTGGGTCATCCTTCTCATGGCATCTTTCCAGCTGCATGGGACCAGGTCCCTCCACAGCCCTTCCCATCACCCGGGCCCCAACAAGAGTCCAGCATTCAGGCCCAGAGCATACCCACAGCATCCCACCCCACAGAACAGCAGGTTGTCAATGGCCAGGCAGCTGCTCTATTCTGAGCTCCGGCCTTTCAGGGCTTGCCCATCAGCCTTAGAAATTCCTCCTGGTTGAAACTTGGCACAAGTGCTTTGGGTTGGGAAAACACTAATTTCTACCAAATTTGGAGTAAGTCTGCATAGATGTTCCTACACTGTAGGAATGGAGAAGATGAAAAAAGAGCTACTCTTTTTTGTAAGCAATACTTACAGGCCTTCTTCAGCTTGAAAAGGACTTCCCTGTTCTAACTGAAATTTTGCACATCATTGATACCAGCTACCCCAGCTTGGTGTGAAGGTTTGTTCTACTTTTTGCTCAAAACAGAGTTTAATTCCTACAGGGATTTCTACAAACAGAATGTTTTTATTACCAACAAAAAAAACCCAAAACCCCATACAGCATGAGGCCTTGATGCTGCAGACAGAGCTGTGAGCAGAAACCAGTGCCCACACAGCGTGCTACTGGTTTCGATGAGGACATGTACTTGCAAGGAGCTGAGAGCTGTGCAGACGCTGCTGCAGAGCGAAGGCTGCGAAGTGCAGCACGGCTGTCACTCAGGCCTTCCAGGGCTGCAGGAAGGCAACATGAGTCACTACTGCACCCAGATTCAAACCCACACCTTTAGTCTAGCTCCTCCTTGCCATCGCTTTGATCCTGAGCATCATCAGCCGCTGTTGTTTCACCAGGGCAGGTTAGAAGCCCCAACTGAGTTGGTCTGCCCTCTCCAGCACCAGAGTAGATTCTTCATCTTTCAGACGATGAATTTTAGGAACTGATGATCTGACTGAGAGTGACACAAAATGTTCCCAGTTTAGACATCCGGCTATGAAACGACTTTCACGGCCTGAAGTGATAGGCACCTCTGGTATCCTCTGATACCAGAGCACTGGTAGGGGTGATCCCTTTTAGACTTCCAACGCAACGCCCACCATCCTCAGTACTCCTCAGCAACACATACACTCTTCAAGACCAATTTGAGCGCTATGCAAGCCGCCAGAAGGACAAAGGAACTGCCATTATTCACTTCTCAGTACCAGCTGCAACACAGCAGGGAAAACAACAGGGAACTGGTAGCAAATCTGCTGCGGGGATACTGGGCTGGGGACAAATAAGGACAACTCTGTTTTATATCCGGGTAGCCTAAGAATATGATACGAGAAAATAGAACAGGAGTCAGACCCCAAGTTTCAGATGAGGGCCTCTCTGCTAAAACGTGCAGTTCTGCTGCAGCAACTGGCTGTGGCTCCAGCACATCGAACGCTCAGCACAGGACAGTCCTAGTGCCCTGCAGAGACCTGCTGACACTCTCCAAGAGGAGCGTTGCACCAACAAGCACCATCCCAGCATCTCCAGCGGGTGGCTGCACGTGTTGGGAAGGGACACAGTGCTCACACTGACCCATGTCAGCCAGCGGCGTGCTGAGCTGCTGGGACCAGTGCAGTCATCCTCTCCTAACTGCAGGAGTTTGTTGCTGTTAATATAGCATGAGTATTAACTCCAAGGAAGGCACATTCCCACCCTGTCCCAGGTGGCACACAAGCCTGCAGCCAGGGAATCACCACCCAGCAACAGACTCTGCTGCTGGCCTTGGTAACGTGCTAAATATAGCTGTATTTTCTAGCTCCTGGCAAAATGGAAGGAGTCTGAAGGACCAGATTAGTCAACTTCTTTGCCAACTGCAGCCAGGAGGGAAAAGCATATGGACTGCACTTCCCAAGGCTTGAAAAATGGGTATTAAAAATAAATCATTAAAAGACTTTTATAAGTCTTCTCCCCCTTCCTTCCCACACACTCCCCCACCCTTGCAGTAGGCTGCTGGCATGTGATTGACTCTGTGTTGCCAACTTAAGTCATGCTGTGATGGCGCATACTGTAAATGGCTGGCATCTGACACCAACTAACATGACAGCAGCTTGCAGTGCGACAAAGCCAGCTGTTTCGAGTGCAGCACACTTAAACCCAGCAGAAAAACCTGCATTATACCTGGCTGTTTGGAGTCTGCCAGGCTGCAACTTGGCACCTGCATCCTAGCTCGGAGGGATGCAAGTAAGAGCATGCTGGGTACCGCACCAGGCTGGATGAACCCTAAGCACGCTGCACAAATTCTCTTCTCGCTGGCTGCTGAAGCGAGCTGAACTGTGCTGCAGAAACAAGGCTTCCAGCACAAACCCCAAGGCTTGCTCACGTTTGCACCAGTAATGCAGTTTGTTACGGTCTCTTTAATCCTGGACGCCAAGGAGAGGTTCCGGAGCAGACGCGTTTCTGGTTTTAATGACGGCACTGTATGTCCTGTCAATCACCAGCAGTTCTCATGTGAAAATCTTTAAGCTAATGTGGCTTTTCACATAGTGAAGGCTGCAGTAGGCTTGTGACCTGACTCTGCTGTCTCTGCCACAAACACTGATGACATGTGCAATGACTGACAGCAAAAAGAATGAAAAGAGACCAAGCAGGAAAGGATTTCCATGTTTTGTACAAAACCAGGCACTAAAACACAGCTTGTCTACATAACTTTTCCCTGCATGAAGCAGCAGATTTCCACCCCCCACAAGAGGAACTCAGCGGGGAGG